GATTGCCCGGTGGGCCTCTACGGCCGTAACAGTTGCCTGCCTGTGAGATTTGGTGCACAGGAGCGCGATTACATCCCCCCCCCCCTCCTCTCCCCGAGCACTCCTCCGTTGACCTGCAAGGGAGGCGTCTCCCTCTATTCCACTAGTTTTGATTTTTAGCTCTGCTCCTTGATTCATCCCCTCCCTCCCCCCCTGGGTAGGGTCTGTCCTCCTTTTGTTGTGATTCGACTTTGAGCTTTTTTTTCTGTCTCCCACGTACGATTTCGTTTCGATTTGTCATGGAATTAATGAGCTATAGTTCAATGATTTTTCAGATCAAGGGTTTGTGTCAACATTTGTGTTGTTTGGGGGTTGGAAGTGATGGCACTTTTTTTGTGCTCATTTCTTTGGGTTTCAGCGTCCAGTGCAAACTGGGAGCAAACTGCAAGTTATCAGCTTCATCCAGAGTAAATGAAAAAACAAACTAGCTAGCTATCTGCATTCATATCTATAAAAAACTGTCTGCATTCAAATGCCAAGAGCCATTAGAAGCAGCAGCCAACCCAACCAATCCCAATCAAATGACACTAAAAAATCAGAGTGCAAGCAAGCCCTAAAACAGTTAAGAAGTTTTTGCTTAGCCTTTTGATTCAGTTTGGGTTGGTACCCTTCCTCCACCAGGTAGCGTCTGTTGTAGTCCAATTTCTGTACCACCAGCACATAGCTCTAGTCTATCTTGAACTGATCATTGAGATGATTTGTTTTTTACTGCTGATGGAATCATTAAATAATTGTGATAGAAGTAAAGTGTTCTTCGTTCATACCTTATAAATATAACATATGCTAATGTGGTTGTTGTGAGCAGGACAAGGCTGGGATGTACAGGGTGGTTTCTATGTCAGTCCTGATGCAAAGCTGCTATTTGTGGTCCCTATCCGTGGGTAAGCACCACCTTAACAATATACATCATTCTATTTTTATTGATTTTTTTTCTATTAATGTGTTTTTTATGTCCATTTTTGATACATAAACATCTGCAGGAACAGTCCAGCCACGTTGGGGATGAGTGGAGATCACTACATCAGCACGAAGTACTCCACTGTGAAGCATGGCCGAATGTACTTCCAAGTCTGGATGGTTGAAATTCACGATGTAGACTAATCTGGAGATAGGGTTGCTCATGCTCATCTTATTTTCATGATGATGAAACTCTTGGCATCGGTTTCGATGCCCTGTAGATACTCAGCACTAGTTGCCCAAGGCTTCACACATGATGTTTTGCCATCAGTACTAAGTTTCAGTCTAGGTATCATGTATGACCAGACACAAACCTTAGTCTTTCTTCATTATGTGTTTGTCAGTTAAATCATTTAGTCTTCTTCAGTTTCTTTTCAAGTTATCAGTTGATCAGTTTCATATTCTTCTCGGTTTCTTTTTCTTCTTCTCATTTTTAGTTTTCTCACTCACTTCATTTCTTCTTCAGTTTTATCAGTTTCTTAGCTCCTCGTCATTTCAATTGTTTAGTTTATCAATTTCTGTAGTTTCTTCATCAGTTTGTCAGATTAGTATTTTCTTATTCATTTCTCTATTCTTCTCTAGTCCTCTTCTTTCTTTTAAGTTGTGTATCAGTATTAAGTTTTTATTGAAATTCATTATTCTGTTCCTCTGTTTTGAGATTGCATGTCCCTTTGCTCAGCTAAATTAGTGTTAATCATCTTGCCATTCCTTGAAGGGGAGCCTTGGCGCAGTGGTAAAGCTGCTGCCTTGTGACCATGAGGTCACGGGTTCAAGTCCTGGAAACAGCCTCTTACAGAAATGTAGGGAAAGGCTGCGTACAATAGACCCAAAGTGGTCGGACCCTTCCCCAGATCCTGCGCAAGCGGGAGCTACATGCACTGGGGCTGCCCTTTTATCTTGCCATTCCTTATATTTCATTCATTCAGTCATGTTACTTCTAGTCAGTCAATTTCAGTTATGTTACATGTAGTCGATCAGTTTCATTCATGTTACACTTAGAGCTCTCTAATAAGACTTAAATGCATTTGTTTCTAGTCGATCAATTTCAGCCATGTTTCATCTAGTCGATCAGCTTTAGTCATGTTACAGCTAGAGCTCCCTGTAAAGCAAAACTTCTTCAAGTTCAGTTCATTGTGTATGTTACTCCCTCCGATCCAAAATAGTGTCGCAGTTTTGAACTAAGATTAGTTCAACCTTAGTTCAAAACCACGACACTTATTATGGATCGGAGGGAGTATCTTTTTAACAAGTCACAAATACTACCTCTGTACCAAAATATAAGACGTGTTTAAGCTAAACTCGCCTACAAAAACGTCTTATATTTTGATATAGAGGGAGTATTTTTTGGGTCATATAGTACTAAATTGCCTTGTTTTTTTTTTGTGAGTAAAATTGCCTTGTTGCCTATATGATTTTCTCATCCTATTAAAATAGCCTTTGGATGTGTATAATTCAGCATTAGCCAAGAGAGTGTTTGATTATCTTCTACAGTTCTCAGGTTTATAGACCTCCATTGTGTGGTCTCTTTGGTTCGTGTATCTTCCACTTAATTTTCCTCTCTTTCCTTAAAATTGCGATTGTCCAGTCATGTTACCTCTCAGTAACTACTCCCTCCGTTTCTAAATATTTGTCTTTCTAAAGATTTCAATAAGTGACTATATTTGTCTTTCTAAAGATTTCAATAAGTGACTACATATGGAGCAAAATGAGTGAATCTACACTCTAAAATATGTCTATATACATCTGTATGTGGTAGTCCATTTGAAGTCTCTAAAAAGACAAATATTTAGGAACGGAGGGAGTAGTTAAATTTGTAATTTCGAAAGCTGGATATGAACATTGGCCCGCGAAGCTATCATCAAGAAGTAAAGTGTAATTTTGAAGGATGCACATTACACTGGTCTCTTAGAGCTATTATCAGGTACTAGAAATCTGTCGAATTCTGGCAGGATTGAAAGACAAAGCTAGGTGCACACGTGACGCGTGTCAAGTGTTACGTTCTAACTGGGCAAAAATTTAACTTGTACTGGACGAAAATCAGTCGACTGATCGATAGGCATTCCCCAGATCTTTCTCCCGGCAAGAGTTATAACTTACGTACCAACAAAAAGAGCTGTGTTATACTCACGACAAAGCATGGACGACTTATAGACGATGCTTAAAATCCGGCCGGACATGCGTGCATACATCGGGCATCGGCAGCTGGATTTCGATGCCGTGCATGCGTCAGCACGATCGTGCATGAAGCAATTTCGCAACAAAAATGTTAGTGCCCTTGAAGTCACCAATATTTATGAAAGTTTGCCAATTCTGAACATCAATATGGACAAAAATGTACGAAAGTAGAGTTTGAATTGGTTTAGGGGAATATAAACTATTTGTCATTCACACATGTCAGTGTAAAGTAAAAAAAAAATTGGAGCCAAAGGGAATTCTAGCTTCTAAATGAAAACACAGTTGATGAATTGTTTGCCTCAAGCCTAATTCTCTTGCGACCTGTGACACTTGGGGCCAATGTGAACCCAAATCAACAAGTGCCACAAGACCAATATTGAACCAAAAAAAAGTAAATATTATCTCTCCCCTGTCTCTCTCTCCTATATATACCTTTTTAAAACTAACTTCAGGTTCTATTGCGTGTTCGTCCTCGGTCAACTTTATGTATGCCCCTCGTCCTTTTCTTCATTCTGTTTTTTTTTCTTCCATCTCCATTCTTTCAAACAGTTTTTTCATAAAAACTGCATTAGCTATTCGATCTCTTGTTGACTTGCAAATATTTTGGACTTTGATAACCAACGAATATCAATTTTTTAAGCATGACAAAATGAATCTTTTTATGGCAAGTTATGTTATCGCAAGGATGACAATTTCTTTTAGCAAGCATGACAAATCTGTCATGTTTAGTTTTTTTTATCAAGATCTGTCGTACTTTCTAAAGGAAATCGCCAGTGATTATTGTGAACACCGACCAGCGATTATCGTGAACATCATTTTCGAACAGTAACACCGACCAGTGATTATTGTGAACATCATTTTCGAACAATGTCTTGGTGGATTTCTTCCTTGGATCCTTGATCCGACATATCAAGCAGAAATGTGCATGATAAACGCGCCCCTCCAATAGATTGTTCACATCAATTCTTATGTAGTTACATGGAAAAGGCAAAGGCTCGATCACATATGCGGCAAGTTCCACTGTTAACACTGAACAATGCGGATCAACCCCACCAATACATCTTCAGTGGCCACCCCATCCGGTTGGTTGGTCAGAACTCAACATTGACGACTGCTCTGTCTTTGAAACCGAAGTAACTGAGGCTAGAATGGTCCTCCTGCTCACCTGGGCCAATTGATCTTCAGTTCAGGTCGAAACCTGCTCTCATGTTCTTCGGCACTTGAAGCGGGAACTACTGCTTGTATGAAGGAATTGCTTTAATACTTGAAGCAGATTGCTTGGAGCTTGTTAACATGCTTAAGGCTAAAGTTAGAGACCGTTCGAAGTTAGCCTCTTTAGTTCATGAGATAAAAAGTTTGTTGTCCAGAGAAAAGTTTGTATCACTTATATTAGTCACTGCCAAAACACTATTAGTGGTTATATGGCAAATTATGCACACATCGAACAACAAACAACTGTCTGGCTCTTCTCTGGACCAGGTGATGTTGTTGATCTATATCGCGCTGATTATAATCTTGATGTTTGACGAGTAATACAAATTCCTTATATTGCAAAAATAATAATAATTGTGAATACCATTCTGAAAAGTGCCTGAGGTGGGTATCTTCCTTGGATCCTTGATCCGACGGCTGCCCGTGGCTACGTCACCCCTGACTTGGCCACCGCAAGTCATTGACCCCGTGCCTTCCCTGCCCACGACCAGCCGTCAGCGTGAAATCCAAGCAGTCCCGAGAATCGCATCGGGATAGATAGATCCATAGAAGAAGGGCAGGGGCAGAGGCGCGGAGCAGAGGAAATCAAGAAGGCGGGGAAGATCGTCGGAGCGGCGATGGAGGGGTGGGACAAGGGCACGAAGAGCGTGGTGGGCGAGATCCCGCTGCTGTCGACGCGGGCGGGCCCCCGGGACGGCGATGCGTGGCGGCAGCGGCTCAAGGAGGAGTACCGCGCTCTCATCGCCTACACCTCCGTCAACAAGGCCAAGGACAACGACTGGTTCCGCATCGCCGCCGCCAACCCGGAGGGCACCCGCTGGGAGGGCACCTGCTGGTACGTCCACAACCTCCGCCGCTACGAGTTCCCCCTCCAGTTCGACATCCCCGTCGCCTACCCCCAGGTCGCCCCCGAGATCGAGCTCCCCACCCTCGACGGCAAGACCCACAAGGTCCGCAATCACGCTCTCTCTTTCCCGTGCCGTCTACGTCGCCGTGTGTTGTGTGGGTTCTTGGTTGTGGATCGTGATTGTTGGACATGGATGCAGATGTACCGCGGGGGGAAGATCTGCCTCACCGTGCACTTCAAGCCGCTGTGGGCCAAGAACTGCCCGCGGTTCGGGCTTGCCCACGCTCTCTGCCTCGGACTCGCGCCGTGGCTCGCCGCGGAGGTGCCCATCCTGGTCGACTCGGGCATGGTGAAGCACAAGGACGATGAGGCTGCTCCTGCAGATGCCGCTGCTGCGTCTGGCTCTGCCGCTGCCTCTTAGCTGCAAGACAGTTACAGTATGCCTTTTTTGTTGTCGCTGACAGTGACAGTTACAGTATGATGGTTGTCAAGGGGATTGGAGGATTGAAAATCCACTCGGTTGTGGACTAATAAGAGCCAGCAATACCTATACTCTAGTTGTCATGTGCTACTTGCTGTTCCATATTTTGCTGATGAACTGGTTGTTGATTTGAACTGTAGTTAGTTTGTCTGACTTATTTGGTGTGCATCGAAGTAGTAGATTTGCATCCAACATTGATCTTCAAACAAATTTGAACAAATTAATTGCCTCCGCCCTGCTGGATAGCTTAGGTGGATGCTGTTAATTTAGGATGGAACCTGATACTTGTGTTGCGTTAACAGAAGTCTGTTTTCTGTCTCGACAAAGAATAATAAAACTTCAGCAAGATCAGGTGCACAATGTTTTTTGCCTTACCTATACTATCCAGGAAATATTAAAATGACTTGGATGTATGACTGTAGCACTGCTACCAGCCTACCATTGTGTTTTTAACACACACTGATATTGAATATGTTCGCTAGAAACCTAAAACTGGTTGAATTGTTGCCTTTTATATTGACTTGATTTTTTCATGATTGGAACAGCGGGATTTGACTTACGGGTTGTTGTGTTATAACTTCATAATTTCTTGGTGCTATACTTTATTTTGAGAGAACAGAGGATTTCATTGATTCATAGGAGAGTTTACAGAGTCAGCAACTACAAAAGGACCAATCTCTGTCCGGACATGCCCCAACCTGAAATTGTTAATACTCTAGCTAACTTGGCAAGCTCATGAGTTGCCTGGTTAAACTCTACCAATTTTAGAAACTTTGAACCTATACAGAGTAGACTTAAGGATGTTGATCTCTCCATATGTATGCCACGGATGGAAACATTTTGGTCTTTCTTTCTGATTGCTTCCACTTCAGCCGAACTATCAGATACCAATATTGCTTCCACTTCAGCCGAACAAGGCATACTGCTCGAGCACTCAGTTTAGGAAACTCCTTACTGGCAGAGTGAA